CCTCGCCATCCCTGGGGGGCTGCGATCTGTGAAACTGTCGCCACTTTCGAGGCCTGCTGGGGGGCCCAGCACAGTGACGCCACGGGCGGACCCAAATTAGACCTCGCCATCCCTGGGGGGCTGCGATCTGTGAAACTGTCGCCACTTTCGAGGCCTGCTGGGGGGCCCAGCACAGTGACGCCACGGCGGACCCAAATTAGACCTCGCCATCCCTGGGGGGCTGCGATCTGTGAAACTGTCGCCACTTTCGAGGCCTGCTGGGGGGCCCAGCACAGTGAAACAAATTGACCTCGCCATCCCTGGGGGGCTGCGATCGAAACTGTCGCCACTTTCGAGGCCTGCTGGGGGGCCCAGCACAGTGACGCCACGGGCGGACCCAAATTAGACCTCGCCATCCCTGGGGGGCTGCGATCTGTGAAACTGTCGCCACTTTCGAGGCCTGCTGGGGGGCCCAGCACAGTGACGCCACGCGCGGACCCAAATTAGACCTCGCCATCCCTGGGGGGCTGCGATCTGAGATCCCCGCTTTCGAAGTGGCTAGGGTTGCTCAGGGATTGCAACTAATCAGCTTTATCTAGTCCTTGTCCTGAAGCCAGTGTCCTGCGAGTCTCCCGAATTCCGTCTGCAGACATATGTAACCCTCGCTCCGTCATCGCCCCCCTTATAAAGTGTCCTAAACTATTTGCGCCCCGCGTTTGCGCAGGGGTTGGGTACGTCGCCAGGGTAATGTTTCGTTCCCGGGCGTTGGCACGGGACGAGTTGAATGATACACTTGCGTTGCAATCGATTGCAATCCATTGGATTGCAAACGATTCGATTGCAATCCATTGGATTGCAATCGATTGGATTGCAATCGGTTGAATTGCAATCGATTCAATCGATTGGATTGCAGGGGAGGGACAGGACGGAAGGGAGGGAGGGGAGGAGAGGGATGGGAGGGAGGAGATGGAACGAAGGGTGGGGAGGGAGGGGAGGGAGCGGAGGGAGGTGGGGAGGGGGATTGCAGTGGAATGGAGTGTAATCGATTGCAAGCGATTTGATTGGGATTTTCGATCGTCGATCGTTGATCGTCGATCGTCCATCCTCGATCGTGGGTCGTTCATTTTGGATCGTCGGCGAAAGGGAGGGCGGAGGCTCCGGGGGCTGGGCGGCCAAAGGGGGGAAGGGGGGGGGGGCTTCCAAGCCCCCCCCCCCTTTGGCACAAAGGGGGGGGGGGGGGGGAGCTTCCAGCAGGGCGGCTCCAAGGGAGGGGGGGCGGTAGCTTAAGCACCCCCCCGGGGTGTAGAGGGGGGGGGGGTAGCTTCCGGGGCGGCCAAAGGGGGGGGGGGGTGGGTAGCTTCCAAGCCCCCCCCCCCTTTGCACGAAAGGGGGGGAGGGGGGGGGTAGCTTCCAGCAGGGCGGCGCCAAGGGAGGGGGGGGTAGCTTAAGCACACCCCCCCCCTTTGGAAAGGGGGGGATGGGGGGGGGGGGGGGTAGCTTCCGGGGAGGGCTCGAGGGGGGGGGGGGGGTAGCTGTAAGCCCCTCCCCCCCCCCCTGCAAACAAAAAGGGTGGAGGGGGGGGGGTGCTTCCAACAAGGGCGGCTCAAGGGAGGGGGGGTAGCTTAAGCCTAGCCCCCCCTCCCCTTTGCTCGGGCCCTGTGGGCGCGCTCTCTCTCATGTTTTGTTGGATGCCCCCTGGTTCGCGACAGCGCGGCTTCTCCCAGGGGGGGGTTGCGTTCTCTCCCACATGGGGCTGGCCCTGGCCATGCTCTGCTCCTGCACGGTTTTTTGCGAAGGGCTGGCGCGTTTCTAGGAGGGGCCCTGGTTTGCTCGCCCCCTGCGTACACAATTTGCCCAGGGCTGCCTCGTTTCTAGGCTCGTTTCTAAGCGCAACCTGGGTTTCCCCTCCCCTCCCCACTCCTCCTCCTCCTCCTTCCACGTTCGCCCATCCCGGCTACCCGGCCTTTTGCCCTGTCCGTTTTTGTTTACGTTTCTTCATGGTCTTTCGCACAGGGCCGGCTTGTTTCTAGGAGGAGCCGTCGTTCCCTCATGTTTTGCTGGATGCACCCTGGTTCGTGACAGTGCGGCTTCTCCCAGAGGCTTGCGCTTTCTGCCACATGGGGCTGGCTCTGTCCATGCTCGGCCCCTGCATGGAGTATTGCGAATGGCTGGCGTGTTTCTAGGAGGAACCCTGCTATGCTTGCCCCCATACATTCACGATTTGCCCAGAGGTGGCTCGATTCTAGGCACAACCTGGGCTTCCCCTCCCCCTTCCCTCTCCTCCTCCTTCCATGTTCGCCCATCCCGGCTACCCAGCCTTTCGCTTGTCCGTTTATGTTTACGTTTTTTCATGCTCATTCGCACAGGGCGGGATTGTTTCTAGGAGATACCGTCGTTCCCTCATGTTTTGTTGGATGTCCCCTGGTTCGCGACAGCGCGGCTTCTCCCAGGGGGTTGCGTTTTCTGCCGCATGGGGCTGGCCCTGTCCATGCTCCCCCCTTCAAGGAGTATTGCGAAGGGCTGGCGTTTCTAGGAGGAACCCTGGTATGGTGGCCCCCCTGCATTCAGAATTTGCCCAGAGCTGATTCGTTTCCAAGCTCAACCTGGGCTTCCCCTGCCTTTCCCCTCTCCTCCTCCTTCCATGTTCGCCCATTCCAGCTACCCTGCCTTTTGCTTTGTCCGTTTTTGTAAACGTTTCTTCATGTTTTTTCGCACAGGGTTGGCTTGTTTTTAGGAAAAGCCGTCGTTCCCTCATGTTCTGCTGGATGCCCCCTGGTTCGTGACAGCGCGGCTTCTCTTAGAGGCTTGCGCTTTCTCCCACATGGGGCTGGCCCTGGCCATGTTCGCTCCCCGCATGGACTTTTGCGAAGGGCTGGCGTGCTTTCAGGAGGAACCCTGGTATGCTTGCCCCCTGCATACACAGTTTGGGGCCCTCTTGGGAGTACCTGCTCTTGGAACACTCTTGGGCCGTCTGGGATGCGTCTTGGGCCGTCCGGAGGCCATCTTCGGCGTCTTCGAGCGATCTTTTGGCGACCCTGCGCCCTCTAAGGCCACTTTTGGACTATCGTGAACCTGACTTGCCGAAGGAGGGCCAACTTTGCTCGAATATGACCCGAAAAAGGGAAAAGGGGGAACGGTATTCTGACCCGGGACCCCCCCAGGGACCTCTTCCGGGACCTCCCCAGGGACCCCCCCCGGGTGGGGAAGGGATCAAGGGAAGGGGCTTCCATTCGATTCAATGGCGACTTCGATTACGACTTCGCTCGATTCACTTCGAGTTGACGAGCTTTTGCAGCAAAGAGGGTTTCGAGAGAGGCTCCTGGAATGCAAAAGCAAATCGAATGAAGGAGCATCTTTTAGAGCCACCCGTGGACGACGGACCCAGAACTCCCCTTCACACACGCCGACGGGGTCGGCGGATTCTGATGACGATGTTGCTGCTGTTGCTGTTGAAGACGACGACGATGACGATGGTGGTGACGACGACGACGACGGAGAATATGATGATGATGATGTTGATGATGATGATGATGACGATGATGATGATGATGATGATGGTGAATATTAGATGGTGGTGCCAACGATGATGACGATGATGATGATGAGGGCGATACTGGTGATGATGCCGATGATGATAACGGCGATGCCGATGGGGATTATGATGATGATGATAATGATTATGATGATGACGATGACGATGACGATGACGATGACGATGACGATGATGATGATGACATGATGATGATGATGATGGTGATGCTGACCATGATGATGATGATGATGATGATGATGATGATGATGATGATGATGATGATGATGATGATGATGATGATGGTGATGGTGATGGTGATGGTGATGGTGATGGTGATGGTGGTGGTGATGACGACGACGACGAGGACGAGGGTTTGATCAGGAGGTGTGCGAGGACGCGCGCACATAGTCACGATGCGATGAGGGGCGCGATGTGTATGAGGACGAGGAGGAGGCGAAGCTGGAGGAGGAGGATGTCGAGAAGGGGGAGGCGGAGGAGGACGAGGAGCAGAAGCAGGACCATGACGACGAGCACGACCGAGGGGGGGATGGAGGGCGGACGAGGGAAGCAAGAAAAAGGGGAGGCTGAAGAGGGAAGACGACCGGGAGCGTGAGGGAAGGCTGAAAGGTTGGCACGCCGCCACCCCTTTCTACGGAGTGCGGGGTCGCGCATTCAATCTGCATTGGATCTGACGGGTGCGTACCACATGATACATAGAGGTAAGCTTCGAACTCGTCGAGTTTGATTCGCAATTCTTGAGGCTTTACGTATCCCCACCAGATATCTGACACGCCCTCTGGACTTTTCTTTGCGGGCCGCCGAACAAAAAAGTATCCCCACCAGCCCGTCAAGAAACGACGCCCGGGCGAGTTGACGTGATCAGGGAAGTGAGAGATCTTGCAGAGGAGCAAAGGGCCGGAGAAACCGTCGTACCCCAAGACGGGGAGGAAGAAGGAGGAGGAGTGGAGGAGGAGGAGGAGGAGGCTGAGGAGGAGGGTGAGGAGGAGGAAGGAGGAAGAGAACGTGGAGAAGGACGAGGAGGAGGAGGAGGAGGACCCGGGAACCGGGAACCGGGAACCGGGAGCTGGGAGCTGGGAGCCGGGAGCCGGGAATTCCTTGGAAGACGCGCATGTTTCTCGTTTGGGCGTTGCTTACGAATGGCTAAACATGTCTAAAAATCTGTACATGTCTAAAAACATGTCGTGTCTAAAAACATCGTGTCTAAACATGGCTACTCGTGGCTAAAATCGATGTATTGCCGTGGCTATTTCGTGGCTAATCGTGGCTAATTCACAACGGCGGCCCAGACGGGGGAAATCAGAGGGGGAGGGAAATTCATCGATCATCAGAGGGGGAGGGGAATCCGCGACCCCCTCCTCTGATGATCGATGGCCTCCAAGATGGCCCCATATGCTCCGAAGAAGGCCCCAACAGGGCCCCAAGAGAGTCCCAATAAGGTCCCAAGAGAACCCCAAGAGGGCCCAAGAACCATTTTTGGCTCAAGAACCGCCGGCCCAAAGTAGCTGGCGCGGCCCGCGCCTCCGCGCACCCGTGGGCTCTTGTGCTTGGCCGGTGCGTGTGCAGGACCGGCGCGGCGGGATGGGCCGAGACAGGCGCTCTCCGCGCCCAGACGCCGCAGGCAGCGCGTGGCGCTCTCCGCGCTCTCCGCGCCCAGACGCCGCAGGCAGCTCGAGGTCCTCCTCGCGATCCTTCAGGAGCTCATCTCCGGCCCCACGCCTGAGGCCGGCGACCACGCAAGGCAGCATGCTGCAGTTCGTTTCGGACGCTGTGGGCGGCCTCGGCGAGGGCGGCGGCCTCACCGCGGCCGAGGAGTCGGCCGCCTACAATGCGCTCGACAACGTGGAGAGGCGAGCGGACAGGAACCTCCAGGCAAGCAACGCGGCCATCGAGCCGCACGTCGGGGCGCTGTCCGACCGGGTGGCCAAGATGGAGAGGAGCGTGCACAATTCCCAGGCGTGGCACCCCGCGGCGGACGCCGGCGCCACGCGGGCGCCGTCGACGGACGAGGACATGGGGTCCTTGCCCGCCGTGCCCGAGGATGGCGACGACTACGGCGCCGAGGCGGAGACGGATCCCGATAGGCAGCAGGCCGCGTACGCTGATTTCCTTGACCTGACCCAGAGGAACATCAACTGCGTCGGTGTGCACGCCTGGGGCATGTCCGCCGCCACGCGGCAGGGCGCCACGTGCTGCGGCAGGTGCTGCGCCCTGGTGCCGTCTGCCCTGCTCCTGCTGCTCCAGGCCATCGTGCTCCACTCCGTCAGCCTCGAGGCCCTGAACCCCACCTGCGTCCGCAACGAGGACTGCCCTTCGGGCACCTGGTGCTCGCCCAGCTGGAGCCTCGGCGGCTACGAGGCCCTGCCGGGCACGTGCGACGACTGCTTGTGGGCCACGCAGCTCCACGAGACCAGCAGTGCGACGGAGAGCAGCAGCACAACCCCAACATCGACCAGTGAAACCAGCACCCTGTCTAGCACCGTTTCGCTGAGCAGCTCGACGGGAAGCAGTACCGCGACCTTGACTTCCACGAGTGTGTCGTCCAACAGTACAACGAGCACCACTTCGTTGAGCACCACGACTGAGACCAGTAGCACGAGTATGACAAGCACGACGATGAGCAGCTCGACCGGCACCAGCACGACGGAAAGCAGCAGCACGACTCCGACTTCTTCAAGTCAGACCAGCAGTGCGTCGAGCACCACTTCAGAGAGCAGCACGACTGCTACCAGCACCGCATCTTTGAGCAGCACGGAAAGCAGCAGCACAACCCCAACATCGACCAGTGAAACCAGCACCCTGTCTAGCACCGTTTCGCTGAGCAGCACGACGGAAAGCAGCAGCACGACCAGCAGTGCGTCGAGCACCACTTCAGGGAGCAGCACGACTGCTACCAGCACCGCATCTTTGAGCAGCACGACGGAGAGCAGCAGCACGACTCCGACTTCTTCAAGTCAGACCAGCAGTGCGTCGAGCACCACTTCAGAGAGCAGCACGACTGCTACCAGCACCGCATCTGTGAGCAGCACCACGGAGAGCAGCAGCACGACTCCGACTTCTTCAAGTCAGACCAGCAGTGCGTCGAGCACCACTTCAGAGAGCAGCACGACTGCTACCAGCACCGCATCTTTGAGCAGCACCACGGAGAGCAGCAGCATGACTCCGACTTCTTCAAGTCAGACCCGCAGTGCGTCGAGCACCATTTCAGAGAGCAGCACGACTGCTACCAGCACCGCATCTTTGAGCAGCACGACGGAGAGCAGCAGCGCAACCCCAACATTGACCAGTGAAACCAGCACCCTGTCTAGCACCGTTTCGCTGAGCAGCTCGACGGGAAGCAGTACCGCGACCTTGACTTTCACGAGTGTGTCCAACAGTAAAACGAGCACCATTTCGTTGAGCACCACGACTGAGACCAGTAGCGCGAGTTTCACGAGCACGACGATGAGCAGCTCGACCGGCACCAGCACGACCAGCAGTGCGTCGAGCACCACTTCAGAGAGCAGCACGACTGCTACCAGCACCGCATCTTTGAGCAGCACAAGTCAGACCAGCACTGAGTGCGTCGAGAACCTGAACAGAGAGCAGCACGACTGCTACGAGAACCTGAACAGAGAGCAGCACCACGGAGAGCAGCACCACGCCAGCACCGACACCATTATTTCTTCCTTGGGTGGTAAAAACTCGACGGTACAAGGCCCGACGCAAGCGCCGACATCGGCGCCGACGCCACCAGCATCGTCAGTACTGCCGATGGTGGCACAAGGCCGAAAGAGGGCTCGACGTGGCCCTGGACGCGGCGCAGGTCCCGATACACTACGCGGCCCTCCCCGTGCGGCTCGGCCCGGGCGCCTACGAGAAGCTCTCCTACGCCGGTCTTTCCGCTGCCGTGGAACACTGCGCCGCGCACGCGGTGGACAGGTGCGACTTCATCCGGGACTTCAAAGACTCGCTGACCCTGGGCACGGTCATGGTCTTCGTCTTCGTGCTCCTGCTCCTGCTCTTCTCCATCGTACAGGACCTGGACAAGGCCGGGCATGCGCTAGACGTGTTTGAGTACCGCCTTCAGGGCTGCGACCCGGTCATCAGGATGTTGGTCACCGCCGTGGCCTCGATGAACTTCAACACAAGGAGATTTGTCCTCCCGGGCATTGTCGTGTACGCCTACTGTGCCCTCGTATTGGCCGGCCCCGCGACCCCAGGGTTTGCGCAGCCCGTGTATTTTCTTTTCTGCGGGGTCTTTGTCGGCGTGATCTACCACGCCGAGAGGTTCTGCACCACGGTGTTCCTTAGCAAGGGGGCCGTAAAGCTCACCCGCGAGGCGTTCGCGGACGAGGCGGCACGGGACGCCATCGAGCGAGTCAAGGGCCCGCTGCACGCGCGGGCGCTGGCGTTTTGGGACCACCGCTTCTACGCCATGTGCCTCGGAGCGTTCTCGTTCCTCGTGGTTGTGTTCACCGAAACGTTCATGGACGCCGTGCCTCTGTTAGATGTCCCAAGAATCTTCAATGCTGGCATATTCAAGGAAGTGCCCGGAGACGCCAACAATTGCACCAACGTCATTATCATGCTCGCCGTCTCATCGACAATTGCTGTGTTGTGTTACACTTTTGTCTGGACCTGTGCTTACCTGTTGACGACCAGTTGTTGCCGTTGCAGTTTGGGTGTGATCCTCGCGCCGTTAAATTGCATTATGTGGAATGTTGCTCTTTGGATGGCACTGTGGACGGTGGCGTACGCGCCCGTGCTCAAACCCACATGATGACCGGCGCCCTCCGTCAAGCATCCAATTATATGTTTTGTAGCTCTCTCGTCTCTCTCTCTCTCTCGTATCCTCCCGTCCACCTTGGCGCCTTCACGACTGGCCAGGACAATATTCCCGGCACGTTCTGAGTATCCAGATGTCTGCGGCTAACCCCGCCACCGCGCCTTCGCTGCAATAAAACACGTGCAGGCTCGCTCTGCCCATCTCTCCCGACGGGATTTTGGCGGCCTCTTGGGGCGATGCTGGGTGCTCCTGAAGGCCTGCCGTGCCAATTTGAATGATTCTACAGGCTTACGCCACATCCGCCGACCCCTTCTGTGACCGTTGCGAGGCCAGGAGTTTCTGGCCAGCGGCGTCTTGTGTGAGGGTGCGGTGTCGCGCGCGGGTGGTGGCAGATACGTAGGGGGTCCAAATGTTTGCGTGATGCCGGTGGTCTGGGGCGTGTTTTGCGAGCGCCTTGCGTGCTGTGCACCCGGATGCGGGGTGTCCTTCTGGGAGGTCGGCCTTTCGACCCGCAACCAAGTGGAGGACCACCGGAAAACGAAACGAGCAAGAGTAGCGTGCGGAAGTTGTGATCAGCGAAGCATCACCGCGAAAGATGTGGCAGATGAGTCGAAACGGGTGAAGAGGCTGTTGACGTTCGCAGCGCGCACGAAACAGTTCGCGCGGCAGCAGCACATTAGCGCCGAGCAAGATTGTGAGCACGTCGCGAGGAAGAGCAAGGCTGCATGCGCGGAGTGCATTGCAGTTGGTTTGACGGCTCGCAATACGGAAACGTCTGGGGGTCTTTTGGAGGCCTCCTGGGGGCCTCTTGGGGACTCCTTGGAGCGTGTTGGCAGACTCTTGGGGGCCTCTGGCGGCCTCTTGGGGCACTCTTGGGGCCCCCATGGGGCTCGTGGGGGCGGAAAACTAGATGTTTGAATTTTCGGTTGCCCTCTTACTATTGGGCCCCTCTTGGTGCCGTCTTGGAGCCTTCTTGGGCCGTCTTGGGGACGTATTGGGCCGTCTTGGGGCCATCTTGGGCCGTCGTGGGGCCGTCTTGGAGGCCTCTTGGGCCGTCTTGGGCCGGTTTTCGGGGCTTCCTGGGCCGCCTTGGAGCGTCGGAAAGCCCACGAGGCAAATTTGTGAAAACTATACGTTGTACGAAGGAAATAAGCAATTTCCCCAACCCTCCTGCGTTGGGCTCTCGTTTTGAATAGAGCACTGCTCGCGCGTCTCCTTCCTTCCTTCCCGTCCCTCTCTTCCCCCCTGCCTTTTACTTCGCTCGTCGCCATCCCTGGGAGGCTGCGATCTGTGAAACTGTCCCCACTTTCGAGGCCTGTTGGGGGGCCCAGCGCAGTGGGTACACACCGCAGACTCACATGGGACCTCGCCATCCCTGGGGGGCTGCGATCTGTGACACTGTCGCCACTTTCGAGGCCTGCTGTGGGGCCCAGCACAGTGGGTACCCACCGCAGATTCAAATGGGACCTCGCCATCCTTGGGGGGCTGCGATCTGTGAAACTGTCGCCACTTTCGAGGCCTGCTGGGGGGCCCAGCACAGTGGGTACCCACCGCAGACTCAAATGGGACCTCGCCATTCCTGGGGGGCTGCGATCTGTGAAACGGTCGCCACTTTCGAGGCCTGCTGTGGGGCCCAGCACAGTGGGTACCACCGCCGACTCAAATGGGACACGCCATCCCTGGGGGGCTGCGATTTGTGAAACTGTCGATACCCAGACTCAAATGGGACCTCGCCATCCCGGGGGGAGCTGCGATTTGTGAAACTGTCGCCACTTTCAAGGCCTGCTGGGGGGCCCAGCACAGTGGGTACCCACCGCGGACTCAAATGGGACTCGCCATCCCTGGGGGGCTGCGATCTGTGAAACTGTCGCCACATTCGAGGCCTGCTGGGGGGGCCCAGCACAGTGGGTACCCACCGCAGACTCAAATGGGACCTCGCCATCCCTGGGGGGCTGCGATTTGTGAAACTGTCGCCACTTTCGAGGCCTGCTGATGGGGCCCAGTACAGTGGGTACCCACCGCAGACTCAAATGGGACCTCGCCATCCTTTGGGGGGGCTGCGATAAGTGAAACTGTCGCCACTTTCGAGGCCTGCTGGGGGGCCCAGCGTGCCCACCGCAAACTCAAATGGGACCTCGCCGTGCCTGGGGGGCTGCGATTTGTGAAACGGTCGCACTTTCGAGGCCTGCTGTGGGGCCCAGCACAGTGGGTAACACCGCAAACTCAAATGGGATGAGACTCGCCATCCTTGGGGGGCTGCGAGTTGTGAAACTGTCGGCCACGTTCGAGGCCTGCTGGGGGGCCCAGCACCGTGGGTACCCACCGCAGACTCAAATGGGACCTCGCCATCCCTGGGGGGCTGCGATCTGTGAAACTGTCGCCACTTTCGCGGCCTGCTGGGGGGCCCAGCACAGTGGGTACCCACCGCAGACTCAAATTGGACCTCGCCATCCTTGGGGGGCTGCGATATGTGAAACTATCGCCGCCACTTTCGAGGCCTGCTGGGGGGCCCAGCACAGTGGGTACCCACCGCAGACTCAAATGGGACCTCGCCATCCCTGGGGGGGTTGCGATTTGTGAAGCTGTCGCCACTTTCGAAGCCTGCTGGGGGGCCCAGCACAGTGGGTACCCACCGCAGATTCAAGTGGGACTTCGCCATCCCTGGGGTGCTGCGATTTGTGAAACTGTCGCCATTTTCGTGGCCTGCTGGGGGGCCCAGCACAGTGGGTACCCACCGCAGACTCAAATTGGACCTCGCCATCCCTGGGGGGCTGCGATCTGTGAAACAGTCGCCACTTTGAAGGCCTGCTGAGGGGCCCAGCTCAGTGGGTTTTCCCGCACGTTTTTCTCCTGCTCTTTGTTCCCGACTCCCCATATCCTCTTCGAGCCTGTAGCTTTTGCCCCTCTTTCTTGTATGGTTCTCCTGCGCATCATGCCATAGGCGCGTGTCCCAAGTAGCTTACAGATCAAACAACGGATGCTGCAATTTGATTGTCCATGCAAGTTTCGGCCACTTCCTCGTTTCCCATGATACAAATGGGTCGGGTACTTCACAGGGTAATTTTGCGTCTAGGGACCCTCTTGGGACGCATCTTGGAGGCCCCTTGGGGGCGTCTTGGGCCAGCTGGAGGCCATCTCGGGTGTCTTCGATTGCTCTTGGACCGTGCGGGACCATGTTGAGCTCTCTTGGAAGCCACTTGGAGCGCTCCTGGAGCGCTCTTGGGGTCGTTTTCGGGGTTCTCTTGGGCCGTCTTCGGCGCCTCTTGAGCCGTCTTGGCGCCCTCTTGGGCTGTCTTGGGGCCCTCTTGGAGGCTTCTTGGACCGTCTTGGTGCGGTCTTGGGGGCCTCTTGGGCCGTCTAAGAGCGTCGGGAAGGCCAAAAGGCGACTTTGTGAAACATATACGTTTTACGAAGAGAACGGGCCAACTTTTTGCGTCTGGAGGCCCTCTTGGGGCGCATCTTGGATGCCTCTTGGGGCCTCTTGGGGGCATCTTGGGCCGTCTGGAGGCCGTCTTCGGTGTCTTTGATCGCTCTTGGACCGTCTGGGACCATATTGAGCTCTCTTGGAGGCCACTCGGAGCGCTCCTGGAGCGCTCTTGGGGCCGTTTTCGGGGCCCTCTTGGGCCGTCTTGGACGCCTGTTGGGCCGACTTGGGGCCCTCTTAGGCTATTTTGGGGCCCTCTTGGAGGCTTCTTGGGCCGTCTTGAGGCGGTGTTGGGGGCCTCTTGGGCCGTCTGGGAGCATCGGAAAATCCAGAAGGCGAACTTGTGAAAAAATATACCTTTTACAGAGGGAATGGGCAAATTTTTGCGTTTAGGGACCCTCTTGGGACGCATCTTGGAGGCCTCTTGGGGCCTCGTGGTGACCTCTTGTGCCGTCTAGGAGGCCTCGTAGCCCGTCTTTGGGCCACTTTGGGCGTCTTGGAGCGCTCGTTTGGCGTCTCGGGGCCATTTCGAGGCCACCGGAGGAGTCCCTGCAGGATTTTCGGGAGCGGATGACCCCCCCGGTGGAAACGGGGAATTTGAACAGACCCCCCCCCCTCCAAATCGACCGGACCGGGCTCCCGGGGGAGGGGTTTGGGGAGGGGGAAGATCTCACGCGCCGATGAACCCCAAGGGGTCGGCGGATTCGAGACGTGCGTAACAACTTTTCCACGTAACGCAAGGTAAGGAGCCAAGCGCCTCGACGGCGCAATCGGCAAATCAGAGCGGCCGGTGCTCTGGACTCTGCTCCGCCGCGTCGCCCTGGAGCCATTTGGGCTCCTGGACGCTGCTTCCGCTCCTCGTCCTCCTCCTCCTCCTCCTCCTCCTCCTCCTCGTGCCTCGTGCCTCCTTGGGCCCGAGGTCTCCGACCCCCTGGATATGTAAGTGCGATGTAGTTGCTCTACATGGTTTCCAGGATCCGAGGGGAGCGGTGCTCTGGCGCCGCCTGGACCGCAGAAAGGAGACCCACCTTCTGCAGGCCCACGGCAACCTGGGGCTCCCCTTCACATTAGCTTGAGCTTGATGTTCTGCCTTCGCTGTGAGCGTCGCTCCATTATCGGTCCAAATTATTTGAAGTCCAGCTGTATGCGCTTGAGCTTGAACTTCCGCTCAACACGCGGAAGCTTCGCTCCATTTTATATTTCTCTTTTAGCTTGAGCTTGAGCTTCCGCTCAACGCGCGGAAGCTTCGCTCCATTGCCATAATTTGTGGGAATGCCGAGGCGAGGTTCTCACAATCGCTCTGACTGTCGATCTCGCAATCGATCTAACTAGAGATCGCACGAGCGATCTCATGATCGATCTCACTGAATCGACTTCACTTTCGGTCTGACGATCTGCCTTACAATTGTCCTCACTTTCGATCCCACTTTCGATCTCCGTATCGATCCTATAATCTTCCTCCTCCCCCTCCTCCCCCCCCTCCTCTCCTCCCCCCTTGGGGCGCACCGCCGAGCTGCGCGCTGGATCTCCGGGCGTGGCCGCCGCGGGCTCCGCGCGCGCTCGGCCTCGGGGGCCACGGCCCGCCTCTACAGAGGAGGGGGAAAAGAGAGGCGGAGGAGGAGGACAATCAAAGCGCACATGCGAGTATGCTTTTTTGTTGCCCGCCCTGTTGCTTGCGTCTTGGGGCTCTGCCGCGGGGCCTGCCCAGCTGCACTACACAGGCAACCGCGAGCAAGCTGGCAGCCCAGATCTCGCTGGTCCTCCCGAGAGCAAGCTGCACAGGCAACCGCGAGCAAGCTGGCTCCTCCCTCCACCCCCGGAGGAGTTGGAGGAGGAGGAGGAGAGAACAAGGCGGAGAATGCGATCTGGGGGCGAAGAGGAGTGTTACTCTTCAGCGATTTCCTGCAATTTTCCTTGCACTATGATTGCTGAGCCAAAGCAGCTGCTTCCGAGAGGACTCCCCGCATGGGGGTCCGCCACTCTCTTGTTTTTCCCCTTCCTCCTTCAGCGGAACTTGCTGTAAGACTTGCAAAGACCCCGGTGGTTGACTCTGACGTCGTCGTCATCGTAGCAGTCGCCGCCGCCGCGTCGGCCGCCGCCTCCAGCGCCGTCGTCGTCGTTTTCGTCGTCGTATTCGTCATCGTTCTTGCTGTTGTTCGTGTTATTTTTTCTTTCGTTTTATGATTTTTCTAATTATTCGTCGTAGTGTCCTTGTTCGTCCGCATATGCTATTCCTCTTCCTGATCCTTATATTTCCCCCTTCATCCGCTTCCTCCTCCTCGTCTTCCCTCCGTACCTCCTCCTGCTCATCCTCTGCCTGCTCCTCCGTCTTCCTTCTCCTTCCAGAGGTAATGGATAACCCACATTTGTGTTACACAGCTTAGAACTTCCACACCGTCATTCGCACATATTCGGATTAGAAAACGCGCGTGTTTATTTAATGTTTAAACGTGGCTATAAGTTTGGCATGCAAGCCGCTCGTTGGTGCCCGTGGCTAGACGTGGCTAAATATGGTTAAGCGTGGCTAAAAATCTATGTTGTGGGTATCCGTGGCTAAACATGTTTAATTCCGTTTCTAAAAAATGGTTCAACATGCCCAAAAAGCTTAAACTATACACCGTGCCCATCATAACGCCAACCAATCATTGAAAACACAAATGATGCGCGGGACATGGAAATAGACACGACCAGACGCTTGAACATCGTTGACAGGTCCACACCAGAACGGCCCAATAATAGCCACGAGGCTTACCTTGAGGGTCGTATCTGCTCTAACTAGGAATTCAGTTCCTTAATTAGTTAAGGCAAACAAGCTTTTCCTAATCAGAGCAAACAGGCTTTTCCAACATAGGCTGCATGTTCGCAAAAATCGCTGGCGTCGGGTCCGTCGCCCCTCCTGTACAGGAGGGAACAGAGGAGGCACAGGAAACCGCGCGATCCGTATAGCCGTCGCGGTTCCAGCCCATCCAATGTTTATCCAATACCGCATGTTTCCATTTTTCTCTTGCGCGTCGTATCATGGCCGAGGAGCGGGTGAAGAACGCGGCTTCGGTGGAGAGCATGGAGAATTTGGTGAAGTCATGCCAGAAGGAAATACTTGCAATGCAGATTCCCCAATCTGACATGGATGACGTGGTCGCCGACGACATGGCTTTCTTGGGCGGTGTCATTCAGATCGCGCAGCGGATGTCAGAGCCTCAACTGCGAGATGCGATCACCCATAAGCTCGGCGCGCCCAGAGATGATGCCAGCATGTATGTCCCCCCCCCCCGAGCTGGGAGGGGGGGGGGGGACAGCTTTTCGGCTGCTCTCTCGCACCGCCCTCTTTTTTCTCCCTTTAGCCAAAGCTGGAGGGGGGGGGGGTGGAGGGGGGCGGATCAAGGGCGTGCACTCGCAGTGGAGCAGGTCGGTGAGATTGGGAGGCAGCAGGCAGGCAGCTATAAGAAAGCGAAGGCGAGGGCCCCCATCAGGAGAATACCCCCGTCGCGCGCGCGGCCTCCGAGCCCCCCGGCCAGCGGGTCCGCGATGAGCCCAGGATCTATCCACAAGGCGCACCACGTGAAGGCTCCGACGGGCACCCCGCTGAACGCGAAGATCTCGAGGCCGCATCTGAGCGACCCCATCGGCGTCGCGTCCTCGCCAGGCGGCGCCGCCGCCCCCAGGAAGAACCTTCCCGCCGAGACGGGCGACAAGAAGAAGAACGATACGTTCGAGATTTTCACTGTCGGCTACGACCGCGCGCCCCTGATAGGGCAAAGCGGCGCGACGACCGCGGAGTGCAAGTTGGCGCCGGGGCCCGACGGCATGCGCACGGCCAAAGTGCACGGAGACGACGAGGAGACGGAGGTGCCGAATGCCATGTGCGAGACGTGGTCCAAGAGGAAGACGAAGGGAACGGGCGGGCCTCTTGAGAGACCCGCCGCTGCCGCGAAGAAGCCTGCAGGGGGTTGGAACGAGAAGGGGCGCGCCGCCACCGAGGGCGACGGGGGGGGGGGGGGGGCGAGCCCGACGCGAGGTCGAGGTGGAGGAACTGGAGGCGCCCGCGGCCAAGTAGGCGAAGCCCGCTGCAGCGGCTGCCCCCGAGCGGAAATGCACCGCGACGTGGTGCAAGGGGGGCGGGTGCAGCGCCGCGCGGGAGAATTTCGGCAACGAGCGCCAGGTGCGCTCTATCGGCGAGAAATCCGACCGCTACAGCAAGGAGGAGAAGATGAAGGCGGCGGAGGAGCTCGTAAAATTGCTGCATGAGAACAAAAGTAAGCTGCAGGCGCAGATCTCCGCCGCAATGGGGAGCATTTCGGCGCAGCCCTCACGCGTTTCCTGACCTCGTAGACAGCCCCGCAGAAGGCCCCCTGGCGGGGCTCGCGTTTACGCGGCTACAGCCGACCCCTCTGCAAGCGGAAGGGCAACGAGATCCTGGATTCTACGCGAGGGGTGCCGTGCGGCGTGTGCTATAGATTCACTGGGGCGAAAGCGACGCCCGGCCGTTCTTGCTCGGCGGTTGGCGCGGCGGACCGACTGCAAGCGAACTCGATATTTCGGGGGCGGCGCATATGTGCGCACATGAACACGCATGCGCGCGCCATGCAGGCGAGGTTCGGCGGCGGCGGGGCGGCGACGAGCGTCCGTTGGCGACGGCGACGGCGACCGTGCACGGCAGCACGCTGGCTTTTCTTTTTTTTTTTTTTTTTCCGTCTCTTTTCCTTTTTTTTTTTCTTTGTTTTGTTTTGCTTTTTGTTTTTCCTTTTTTACTTTCTGTTTTTGTTTGCTTTTTCTCTTTCTTTTGTTTTTTCGCGCGCATGCACGCGCGCGCATTGCCGCAAACATGTGCGCTCAATACATATCAGTTGGCATTCTGCTATATATATATATATATATATATATATATGCATCGTATATATGGTTATATATGTATCGTATATATGGTTATGTCTACACTGGTAGCGTGCTTTCAATCAACAGCTTGCTGAGCTTAGTGTCATACGGAAGCGCTGCGACAGCCCCCCCCCCCCCCCCCGAGCAGGGAGGGCGCTTGAGAAGGGGGTGAGGGGGGAAGTGGGCGCCAGGGAGAGAGAGCTCCAGGACTGATACGGCTCGAAAGCCTCGGCTTCGAGGCCGCCGAGGGCCAATGGCGCGCCGAGGGCGAGGGCCAGGGCGCGGCCTATTCCGGGGCAGCGAGGGAGGTCGTCGAAGAGGAATGTAGCCAGCAGCCAGATCCCCTGCGCGCTGCTGGCCTGACAGCAAGGGATGCATATTACGCACAGAGGAAGGGAGGGAGAGGAGAGAAACCGCGCGGCCAGCACGGGCAGCGGGGCGCAGGGGGGGGAGAGGCGGACGGGGAGATGGGAGTGATGACGAGAGGAGAAGAAGAAGGAGGAGGAGGATGAGGGAGGAGAAGGAGGAGAGAAGCAGGGAGAGAGGAGAGAAAGAGAGAGAGAGAGAGAGAGAGAGATAGAGAGAGAAAGAGAGAGAGAGAGAGAGAGAGAGATAGAGAGAAGAGAAGAGAAGAGAAGAGAAGAGAGAGAGCGAGAGAGAGAGAGAGGGAGAGTGAGAGAGAGAGGAGAGAGCAGAGAGAGAATAGAGAGAAGAGAGAGAGGAGAGAGAGAGAGAGAGAGAGAGAGAGAGAGAGAGAGAGAGAGAGAGAGAGAGATCCGCCAGGCGATGGACGTCGGCTTGCGCATGGCGCCGCCTGGAGGAGAAGGCGCCCCCCTGGCGGCGGCCCCCCTGACGGGGGCGGCCGCAAGCGCGGGGGCGACCCCAAGGGCGGCGGCGCCAACCTCACGGGCGACGACGACGAGGAGGATGAGGAGGAGCAGCTTGACGGGTTGCGCAAGGCCCCCTTCGGCGTGCACCTGCGCCGCCCGCTGAGCAAGTGCAGGCACTGCGGAGAGATGAAGTGCATCGGCAGCGGCTTGTGCCTCTCGCTGAAGCGCCAGAATTGGAGCAGAGCCAACCGCCGCCACAGCGCAACCTTCGGCCTCTACGAGCTCCCCAACAAGACACAGGGCGCGAGGAAGAAGAGCAAGGGCAGCAAGAGAGAGGAGCGCGACACCTAGCGGCCGCGGGGCGCGATCGGCTTGCAATTAGCTTAAGATGATTTGCCGTGGTTGCTCCTTCTTGCCATCCTGTACAGGGGCGCCCCATCCTGTGCGCAAGAGGGCGTTCCTAGGTGGTGGCAGCACATCAAGCAGCGCGAGGGGCAAGAGATCGCAGAGCACGGGCGCGTCCTCGCGTCCCCGAGGCCGAAACCGACGGGTCCCAAGACTGGCCCAATGCGGACCCCCATCGTGCACTTCGAGGTTGACACGGTACCCGCGCGGTATCCTGGCGACTCTGCGTTCCCCTGCTTCCCGAAACCTGCGCCAATGAGCCCGCCAGCGATGACGCCGCCAACGCTGAAGCCGAAGCCCAAGTATGGCCCCCGCCAGCCAGCCGCTCCACCG